ACTTTATGATTAATTTTATTTTTTTCTTTTTATAATTTTATTAATATTTATATAAATTTTTAATCCCAATAATTAATAATAAATATGGAATACATTAAAATAAAATTACTCATTAAAATTAAGAAGTTACAAATTTGATAATTACAAATGAAGAAGAATTAGCACTTGAACGAGTATAATTTTGTGAAAATCTTTGTATTATAAGTATTTTACAAACTTGTTTGGCACGTCACATCTATATCCCTTCTATATATAAACCTTCTATATATAATGTGGCTATCTAACGAAATTTTGTTGGTTTAACGGAAAAACTAACGAAAGTTATTGTTTTTAACGGAAATTTTTTTTCCTCCGTTAGTTTAATTATTTCCGTTAAATAAGTCAGAAACCGTTCTTTAACCGGTTTCTTTCCATCTTTTAGCCCGTTAATTGACAAGCCCAGGAAGAAAATGAAACGCTTGTTGGCCCATTTCTTTATAGGGAAAATTTCTTGTGCTTCATTTATAGAATTTCGACGTGGGAAAAACTCGTTGGCTGTGTTACTGTGCAAGGAAGGGAAGACCGGTGAAAGCTATTGTTGGTGGCGGTGAAAGCGGCTGTTGGAGGAGCAGGCGGTTCAAGAGAGCGCTGAAAAAGCTCAAAGCTTTCGGCTTTGGACACAAGGTCAGCGAAACAGGGCAGGGGTGTTTGAGCCATTTAGGCAGTGGAAAAACTTGTAAAATCGGACCCAAGCCCTCGAAGGAACCAATGGGATTTGTCGGTGTCGTCCACAGGCCGTCCGATGGCATGAAGTTGATCACAGAGGGCCTTGAAGGCTCGGGCATACTCAGAGACCGTTCGGGTGCCGCGTTTCATCAATTGGAGATCGTCTTTGAGACGAATTTCTCGAGCTTTGGATCGATGGCTGAAGGTATTCTCGAGGCCAAGCCACACTTCTCTTGAGGTGGACAGACCCACGACCTCAGCCATGCCGTTTCATTACATGCCTTTTGTGATGCAGACTGGGCTGGTAATCTAGATAACAGAACATCTTCCAGTGGCTATGGGATTTACCTTGGTCAATGTTTAGTTTCCTGGTCCTCTAAGAAACAACCCGTGGTTTCTCGATCGAGCACTGAGGCAGAATACAGGAGCTTGGCATTAACAACTGCAGAGGTTTACTGGAACCGCCGGGAGCTGGTTGTCTTCCGCCGACTGCCGGGAACTGGGAAGAAATGAAGACACGGCTGCGCCTGAAATGAGAGGAAGAAATGAAGAAGACAAGGCTACTGGGCTTGATTTTTTTACTTTTTTTTTCCTTTCTTATGTTTGGGCCTTTTCAATGAATGGGCCCAATCCATGGTTATTGGTCCACCGGTTTAGTCTTGAAAAGGGTAATGCTACATGTATACACACTTTTACACAATCTTTTACACCTCTCTCACATGGAGGGGGGTCCACGATTATTTTATTATGTGTGGACTCC